GTATGAGCAACTCTTATTGGGTCCTATTTGATCAATTAATATACTGGGCCGCATTATGTGGCCCATAGTAGTAGTCTTCGTCATCGTTTCCATGTGCGAAGCTCTCTTTCTCTCTCACTGAATTCTCAAGCCTCCTCCTTTCAAAGGATCTTTCTTAACCAAACTCTTTCGCTAATCCCTACACCTATGCGAACAACCAGATGCTAATTCAATCAATTTCTCGTCTGGTTTCTCCCTCATTTCGATCTCAACCCTTAAAAATCTCAGCTTTACGGGTTTCCACAACTGTCTCAGCCGCAGAGAGATTATACGACCATCTTCAGGGATGCACGACCAATCTCGAGAAGGATTTAGCTTCAGTGAAAGTGAAACTAGACGCTTCTTGTATCAACGAGGTAATAAGAAGATGCAATTCAAATCAATTTCAATTGGGTCTTAGGTTTTTCATATGGGCTGGAACTCAACGCGACCATAGACACAGTCCTTACATGTATACAAAAGCTTGCGACTTTCTTAAGATTAGAGCAAACCCAGATTTGATCAAGTATGTTTTCGAAGCGTACCTTAAAGAGGAATGTTTAGTTAGTGTTAAGACAATGAGGATCGTTCTGTCTATTTGTAATCAAGCGAAACTCGCTGATGAGGCGTTGTGGGTATTGCGGAAATTTCCTGAATTCGAGTTATGTGCGGATACTGTTGCGTATAATTTGGTGATTAGGTTGTTTGCTGATAAAGGAGATTTGAATATGGCTGAGGAATTGATGAAAGAGATGGATTGTATTGATCTTTGTCCAGATGTGATCACTTTTACATCAGTGATCAATGGGTTTTGCAATGCGGGTAAGATTGATGAAGCTTGGAAGCTGGCTAAGTCCATGAGTAAGCACGGATGCGTGCTTAACACTGTGACGTATTCGAGGATTGTAGAAGGTGTCTGCAAGTCTGGCGATATGGAGACAGCGCTGGAGTTGTTGGTGGAAATGGAGAAACAAGATTGTGGTGGATTAATTTGTCCGAATACGGTTACTTATACTTTGGTAATTCAAGCGTTTTGTGAGAAGAAGCGGATTCGTGAGGCGTTGATGGTATTGGATAGGATGGGAGAACGAGGATGCTTGCCGAATCGTGTTACTGCTAGTGTTTTGATTCAAGGGGTTTTGGAGAATGACGAGGATGTTAAGGATATTTCTAAGTTGATTGATAAATTGGTGAAACTCGGTGGTGTTTCTCTTTCTGATTGTTTTAGTTCTGCTATCGTGTCGCTTATCCGTATGAAAAGATGGGAAGAGGCGGAAAAGATGTTCCGTCTGATGTTGGTCCGTGGTATTAGACCCGATGGTCTTGCGTGCACTCTTGTTTTCAAGGAGTTATGTTTGTTGGAAAGGTTTCACGAATGTTTCCTTCTGTATGAAGAAATCGAGAAGGCAGATGTGAAATCAACAATAGACTCGGATATACATTCGGTTCTTTTGCTCGGTCTCTGCGAACACGGGCGATCTTGGGAAGCTGCTAAGCTTGCGAAATCGATGCTTGATAAGAAAATGAGACTGAATGTTTCTCATGTCGAGAAAATCATCAAAGCTTTGAAGAAAACTGGTGATGAAGATCTCATGCGTCGTCTCTCTACGTTTTAATTCGATGATTCAGATAGGTATGGATTTATATTATCAAGAAGGATTCTTGTTCTACACAAATATCACTAAGCTTTTTCACTACTGCATATATAAGCATAACAAACAAGGCATTTGCTCTTTTAAGGACGCAAAGGCTCCTTCGTCTTGCGGTTGAGTGCTTGTTCTGAAGACGGTTGGTTCTGGAGATAAGGCACAACGTATTTGACAACATCGAGATTCGCCATTTTGATGTGTTCGCCAGCTACACTCACAAACTTCACTTTTCCAGCAACATCCAATGTTTTCAGACCGATCCAATCCTCCGTATAGAGCTTTGTCTGTTGAGGAGAGAGAAGAGGTTTGAATTCACCATCTGGGTAATACCCGAACCAAGATGATTCTTGTGGAACAATAACCTTATCGTCCTCAAACTGTAAAACAAAACAGAATCATCAGGAGAGGATTCAATCGACAATTCAAAAGCAGAATGGTGTTTCGAGGAGATCGAACCTTGACAAGAATCAAGTTGTGTAAGCTGGTGAAACGGTCTTTGTAAGTTGAGTTTCTCTGGTTTGGTATCTCATTGTTGAGCTTAGGTAGATACTTTGAGCTTTCTAGGTACTTTGTCATATCCTGATAAACCAAAAAACAAAGATTCTGTTTTTAAAAAAGAAATCTAGTAAAGTTTCTTAATCTTCTAAACTAGTATTTTGAGTAACTAAGACATACAGTAGGGATTTTGAGATAGCCACTAGGAGCAAGATGATCCTGCAGAGTCATTAAACATGTTAATTAATCACTGATTAAGGATTTTAACCCTGATTATAGAGAGATAGAGATAGAGACAGATACTTGAATGAAGTCGCTATAGATATCTGACTTGATCAGCTCATCTGCTATTTCACACAATAAACCAGACTTTACCCCAAAAAACAAAAACAGAGAAAGTCATTGTTTGTCAGTGTCATTGATTGAATAATATTCACATTAGAGATTATAGGAAAATAAGAAAAACTTACACCACACATAGGAACAGAGGAGATCCCAGCATGAGGACCTGCTAAAGATATATAGTTGTAAACCAGAGGCCCTCCATCGCAGAACTCGATCAGTCCTCGAGCTACTAGATTCCCCTGTTTTCATCATCCCATGTAATTAAAAAACGGGTAACCATCAAAAAACCGATTTTTGTTTCGGTTTTGTCTCAAGAAAGTATCATCAAGAAACCTGAGATCTTCCAACGATGTTGTATCCTTGACGCAACTCTTTCATTTGCTTCACTTTCTGACACGCTATTTCCGCTTGTTTCGTTAGCGGCATGAACCACGAATCGCGTTCTCCATTCCCAACTTCCCTACATTCCATACCAAAAAGAAAAGCAAGAGTTGCATCAAACCAAAATACATCACATCATGTTTGCAAGAAATATATACACAATTCTTTCACGGATGATTAGTCAGGGTTTTGGTCTGAATCTTTCTTGATTATCAAAACAAAGAAGAGAGTGTGTTGTGGATTTGATTACTTACAGGCAAAAGCCAGGAGAGCCAGAGAGGTTAGAGAGAAGCTGTGTGAAGTTAGCTTCTTTACCATCAGAACATTCAGCTGCAATCCCATGAAGCATTATGAATGGAACTGAAACAGAGACATGAACCATTATTGCTAAGAATGCAACCGCTAAGGCAACACCATACCGCTTCTTCGCCATTTGAAAACACGCGAAAGTAGCGATTAGCGTTTTATGTTTTTGAGTTTTTGTCGTCTCCAAGAAGTTTTGAGATGGGAATATATGTAGGGGAATAGAAAGAGTGTGATATGGTTGGAAGTTGCGGCCAAGTAAGAAAGAAGTAGTATATGAAGAAAAATGGACGGTGATGATTGGTTTTAATATCTTCAGTATGAAATAGACGGTTCTGATTGGTTGATATCTTCTCTGCGATCACATTAACTC